TGTTTAAAAGGTACAAAAGCTTCCTCCTCTGGTTATTTGTTCACATCTTCATTCCGCTTTACGTGTACATGTAGGCTCCCAATTTAGTAAAATGTGTATGTTAATTTGGCTTATGTTGGCTTCCTTCTTAGGCTGGGCTGGAGACCCTCAGAAGACAGAGGAGAATTTTCTCCTCCCCTACAGGTGCAAGGGAAGAGTCAAGTCCTTTTTTTCTCCTGCATACGGATATTCAATTGTTCCAGAACCATTTGTTGAAAAGTTTATCCTTTCCCAACTGAATTATCTCGGGAGTTCTGGGCAGCCTTTACTTGAGTATAAATTCCCCCTCACTACTCAAGTGTAAACCTTCTCAATGATGGCAACATGAACTCCTCCCAGACCTGTGTGAGTCTTGTTAACTATTCAGACTACTGCTTTCTTTTGGTCCTTTCCCTGGTCTTGTAGAGTTTTACCTAAAATATGTACACATCAATAGTCTGAAATGTTTTGCAAGAAAGAAGCCAAGTCAATCTTAGGGCCTTCCTGTTTGTTTCCTTCCTCTCAGGAATCACAGTTCTGTGCTGCCTGCATTGTCCAATGTTAACAGACACTTGTTTCATGTATTTTGTCCATGTTTCTAGTTGTTTACAACAGAGGAACAATTTCTACTTAATTTTTCATGAACATCTGCCACTTTATTTTTAAATAGTACAGCAAATGGCTAATTCTCAAAGCTTACAGAAAGATTAGTAATCTTTTAAATTTAATTTCTCTAATATTTTACACTCTTCTTTCTTAAAATCTATGCCTAATTATTCTTAGTTTTCCTTTTTCCCAAATTTTTCACATATATGATTTCTTTATAGAAGCTTGTCATATTCTTATATGTAAAACTGAGTTTGTTTTATTCTTCACAAAACAAACATTCAAAATCAAACAAATACATAAATCCCACACTGGTAATTAGAAAAAAGAAGTTTCAAAGAATTTTTATAGTTTTCTAATATTCAGAAAAGGAACTCATATGTCTTTTAGCCTTTAATAGGCTATCCTATTATATTATATTAATCATATCAGTAACTACAAAAACACCTAAAAGACAAGTCAAAAGCAACACTGGTTTTCTTGGCCATTTACCCAGGAACACCTTCCTGGACACCAATTGGACCCACTGTTCCTTGCTCTTATTTCTCTGTCTCTCTGGCCGCGGACTTCATACCCCAGCACTCCTAAGAATTAGTGACCCTACTGAAATGAAATACCTTTGCTTGGCTTAGGGTTCTTGGTGACACATTTGGGCTATAGGAGGGTGGGGTCTCAATCCTTCTATTCATATTTCTTTGATTATTGATATCACTTGCAATTCTAAAAAGACAAATACTTCTCTCATTGGCCCTGAAGAACTTTCTTTACTTTGGCAAGTCTACTAGTCTTATTACCAGAAAAGGGAGAGGAAACAGGATAGCATTTCCTACAGCTCAATCATATTTAAAAACCAAAAACCCAACTAAAAAATGGGCAAAGGACTTGAAATAGATATTTCCAAAAGAAGATAGAAACAGCCAACAAGCATACGAAAAGATATTCAGTATTCTAATCATTAGGGAAATGTAAATCAAAACCACGATGAGCTATCACCTCATAGCCCTTAGGATGGTTACCAACAAAAAGACAGAAAACGAGTCGGCAAAGATGTACAAAAATGGGGAACTTTATGCACTGCTGTTGGTGGGAATATAAAATGGTGCAACTGCTATAGAAATCAGTATGGAGGTTCTTCAAACAATTAAAAATAATTACCATATAACGCAGAAATTCCACTTCTGGGTATATATCCAAAAGGATTAAAAGCAGGGACTTGAAGAAATATTTGTATACCCATATTTATAGCAGCATTTTTCACAAAAGCAAAAAGATAGAAGCAACCCAAATTAAATGCCCATCAATGATGGATGAGCAAAATGTGTTATATACATACAATGGAATATTATTCAGCCTTAAAAAAGGAATAAATTCCTGGTACATGCTACAACATGTATGAACCTTGAAACATTATGCTAGGTGATATAGGCTAATCACAATAGGACAAATGCTGCATGATTCCACTTACGTGAGGTATCTAGAGTAGTCAAATTATAGCAACAGAAAGTAGAAGAGTGGTTGCCAGGAACTGGGGTAACAGAGAAATGAGGAATTGTTTTTTAATAGGTATAAAATTCAGTTTCGTAAGATGAAAATGTTCTGGAGATTGGCTGTACAACCATGTGTACAGTATACTCCACAAAACTGAACTATATACCTAAAAATGGTAAAGATGGAGAATTTTATGTTACATGTATTTTACCACAATTAAAATGTGCACACATGCAGGTGAGAGCCTGGCAGTTGGAGACTTTGGTTAAATTTTCCCTAATATAAGCTATGCACCACAACATTTAAATTATCCAAATAGCTTACATGGATTGTTTGGCATCATGAACAAACTATACCAAGAGAGGGATTAAAAGGAAATTAGAGGAATTCCAACCACAAACATTAAAAAAATAATAAAATAGGGGATTCCTTAGGTGGCTCAGCGGTTTAGTGCCTGCCTTTGGCCCAGGGCACGATCCTGGAGTCCCAGGATCGAGTCCCGCATCAGGCTCCCGGCATGAAGCCTGCTTCTCCCTCCTCCTGTGTCTCTGCACATCCCCCCATCATAAATCAATCAATCAATCTATCTTTAAAAAAATAAAAAATAATAAAATAATAAAATAAAAATAAAGGAAGTATTGAACTTTGAAGGAAAATCTAAAGAAAGGACACGAGAAGTCATAAAGTACTATGAAAATTGTGTCAGTTGTAAAGAATTTATGAGTTACTCAAATTTGTTATTTTTTTAACCCATGCTATCTTATGATGATTAGCAGTAAAAACTTTAGAAATTTAAAGAAAAGATTAAAAAACCACATTTTTATTTAATGATTAGCAAGCACATAGAAAAGATTACGTCCTTCCCCATGGGCAACTGTGGAAAGGAATCTTATACATGGAGCAGACGGTTGCAACTTGGAATATAAATAGACTAGGTCCTTGGGACCCACAGAAGGAAGACAGGAATCCCTGAAGAGCCCACAAGGCTTAAGAGCAATCCTGGAAGCGTACTGACACAAATATTAGAATCTTTTTTTTTAAATTGTTCAAATGTCTGATCTGCAAACCTTTCACTGGAGCACTAAAAGCTATTTTCTCCCTCAGGGCTGTTTTTCGGTCTATGTCTCTGAGTGAGATAATTAAAAGGAACCCTGTATCTTGCTCTATCAGGGAAGCCTCAGTTGGGACTTTTTGATCCTCACATCGTGTTGTTCCAGCAGAAACTAACATTCTGGAGCCACACTTGAGCTATAGATCAATGGAATAAATATGAAAACATGTTCTGACGAGCGTGCTGAGGTGATCCTAGCGTACAGTGATCCTGGCTGTGATGGGTAGCTTGCCAGGGACCCTCTTCTGGGTGCAAAATAATCACATGGCAGAAGGAAAGAAAGAAAGTTGAAAGAATATTTGAATTCCATCCCTTGGTTCTGGGGTAGACCAGTGGTTTTAAAATAACATGTCATCTTGCATAGCTGTATTACTTTAAAGTGACATCATTTAGCTTACGAGGTAATGTGCTGCATGACTATTTTCAAATGAAATAACTAAATGCTTACTTAATTGGGCCCTATTGCTGGGGTGGGGGGGTACCCAGGAATACTAGTTTCTATATTCTCTGAAAACAAGAGAACCAGCTTAACATCAGAATCCCTGAAACATACAATGATTATCTACATTTACTGGAGCATTCCTAAAAGTTAATACATTAATTTGCTTTTGTTGGTTAAGGAAACACATGACTGGTCTATCTCCTCTAATTTATGCCTCTCCTCAGAAGTTAACAGAATTCTAATTAAGACCCTAAGAGACGGATTTGGGACTCCCACCTTAAGAATATAGTAACAATGGGAGGGGCTCCCGGGTTGCTCAGTGGTTAAGCATCTGCCCTCTTTCTGCTCAGGTCACAGTGTCCTGGGATGGGGCCCTTGGGCTGTCAGGCTCCCTGCTCAGTGAACAGTCTGCTTATCCCTCTCCTCTGCCCTCCCTGCCATCCCCGCTCCATCCCTGTGTGCGAGGGTGGCTCTCAAATAAATAAAACCTTTAAAAAAGAGAGAGAGAGTATAGTAACGTGCGTTTTCATCTTCACAGGTGAAATTTTATATCTTTTGTCAGTTTATATTCCGACAACTGCAATGTGACAATGACACCTATACACTGAAAAATACTATCAGGTGAGGACAAGCTACAATCCCTCTGCTTTAAAGTAAAAGGAAACATACTTTGCCTTTCCTGTGTGTAGACATCTGCAAGCATTCCACGTCTCGTAATCATGCTATAGTTCCAAGCACATCAGTATCCAGTGTGCTCTCCTTTACACAAAAACAGCTTTTTTGCTGTTACCACTGGAGTCACATCTTAGAAAGATCAAAGTGTGCCTAACACTATGAAACACAGCTTAAAACTCAGTTATGGGTACAGATGGGGCCTCTTTCAAAAGACTCATTTTTTTTTTTAATTAAACTTACTGCTTAGAAAGACTGTTTTACTGATCTGTTGCATATTGAATTGAATTTATAGATTAATGGCACAATTACAATATATTATAAAAAGACTATTCTCCAGGAACCCAACCCTTCTAATAAAAATGTCCTTAAATGCTTCTCCACAGGGCAGGGAGGACTCCCGGGGGATGACCGCGTCTACTGAAGCCTCTCTTTTCTGCAGCCACAGGACCTAAAAACAGCTCAGCTTTGCTGTCAGCGTCCACTGGTAGACAAGGCACTTGAGTTCAGATAAAGGTTTTGTGAAAATGCTTCCTGAGACTCAAATGAGCTCGGAAAAATGCCTGCGAGCGGGCTCTGTCCCCACCTCGGAGTTCTGACACCTTCGGGGGCTTCCTTACCAAGAGCTCACCACACTTGGGTTGGGAATGGTTCGTATCTTACCTTCAACTGTTCTAAGGCAAAGGATGAGCCATCCTGCTGTAGATTTTCAATAATCTGTTCCACAGTATTGGCCGAGAACCAACTATAAAAAAAGAAACACATGATTTCACCAACCAGTAAGCGACCTCTTCTTTCCAAAATAGCGATGAATCTAGACACAGGCTTTCCCCAAACTCCACTTCTACAATGAAAAATTTTCCAGACTATTTTACAGGATGATGCAATAAAACCTTGCTTCTCTAGGTAAGTGTTTGCAGTCTACTTTTATTAATGCAAAATAAAACCTAAATTTTCTCTTAGGCTTTCTTGCATCTATTACATGTAAATAAATACCTTAACTGTGAAAAACTGCTGATTTTAAAATGTAGAGATAGTTGTCTTGTTTTCCAATAGTGTTCCTCCTCCTATGTTCCTTAAGCCAGTCTATCAATCTCTCAAATCACTGCACAAAAAAATCTTCTGATCAGCTTCGTAAGACCTTCATAAAAAATGACTTAATGAAGATAGAAGATAATTATTGTCTTCTAGCCTCTTTCCCATCAAAAAAAAAAAAGTTTGCACTAAAATGAATCAGCATGATTGATTATTTCTGTAAAATGGACTTATTTCCCCCTGAAAGAGTAGGCAAGAAGTTACTTTAAGAAATGAAAATAAAAGCACCAGGCTAGCTGATCTGAGAATTCAGTGCATTATTAAACATGATGTTAATTAGTGTTAGCAAATTCAATTTAATATCGTCCTTCCAAGAGAAGAGATGTACTGAGGCCTCTCTTTAAGTACCTGTTTATTTTGTCCATGTGTTCCTCAAGTATAAAAGACTTGTCTTGATCAATCTTGGACTGTTTGAAAAAGAAAAATCTTGTAATTAATTTGAAGTACTTGAAAAATCCCTTAAAATGTCATATTTAATCTTTGTGAAGATTATCACTTTCAAATTATATCCAACAGTTTCATAAATAGCTACCACATGTTCAAAATTCAGATGATGTTATTCCAGACTAGTGCTTAAAGTGCCAAAGGAAAAATATGTTCTTTTAATTTATATTTTATTATTATATATGCTACATCATCATTAAAGTAGGTCAATGAACTGAGGATTGTAAGGGACCTGAGAAGTCGTCCTGCCCAAATTTCCATTTGATACAGAACTCCTGCACCTCCCTGATATCTCTGTAGCACTGACCTCTAGGGAGAGAAAAAGTAGCGTGAAAGGAACTCACAGGGCTTGAATAAGTATAGTTGGGATCTTTTTTTTTTTTTAATTCTGGACCAAATCATCCCTCTCGTGTTTATAGTTCTAGTTCATCTGCTTCCACCTCCTTTCTCACAGTGTGGTTTCATGTCCCCTCACAGGCAGATCCTTCTTGTGCACAAGTCTCAGCTTATCAAGGTCCTTCCTAAAGTGTGGGATGTACACATTACCACAGGCATGACTGAATCGCAGCAAAGTGTATCGGGGCTCCATATATCCTTGTTTACTTTGAATACAATGCTTTTACTAAAAGGACTAAGTCTGAGTCCGTTTGGGGCCAGTTCTAGTATATTGCTTTTATTTATTTATTTATTTATTTATTTATTTATTTATTTATTTATTTATTTATTTATTTATTTATTTATTTATGGACCAGTGCCACCGTAGGCTACATTTCTCTTATTTTATAATAAATAAATTTATATTTGGTACTTTGGACTGAAATCCAAAATTTTCACTTATCTCTGTTGTAATTCTGTGACTTAAAATAAGAAATACAGCCGAGCCTGGCTGGCTCAATTAGTAGAGCATGTCACTCCTGATCTTGGGGTTGTAGGTTTGAGCCTCACATTGGTATAGAGATTTCTTAAAAATAAAAATCTTAAAAAATAAAATAAATACACATTTGGTCCTTGCCCATATATTTGTTCTTTGTTCTTGGCTCAAAGCTCCCCAAAACCTTGAAATTTCTTTAAGAAGAGCACCTTTTGTTATATTTGGTCTTCTGTCCTCAGTTCCTGAAATATTCCTAACAAGTCCCTTTTGATCACAGTTATGTTAATGAGATGACTTTTGGAAAGCTCACAAGAATGGGGCTGGTGCCCAGGGGAACCAACCAGTGATTCCATCACTGGGACATTCAATTCCCCCTTCCAATCAAGCCCCGCCCCAACACCACCACCACCTCCCCACCTCCCTCCCTCTGCCTCCAGTGAGAGAAAAGGGACTGGAGATTGAGTTCAATTACCAAAGCCTAACAGCCTGATCAGTAGTGACCATGTAATAAAGCTCCATCAGAATCCAAAAAGATGGAGTTTGGAGAGCGTCCAGGTTAATAATGAACACATCCACCAGAGGGGAGAGCAGTACATCCCAGCTTCATTAGGACAGAAGCTCCTGGGCTTGAGACCCTTCCAGATCTTGCCCTGTGTACCCCTCAATGGACTTTTCATTCATATCCTTTAATAATAAAACAACAAAACTCTAAGGGTTTCCTTGAGTTCTGTGAGAAATTCTAGCAAATTATTGAACCCAAGGAAGGAGTCATGAGAACGCTGATTTACGGCCAGTCAAGTACAGGTGGCAAGCTGGAACTTGCAACTGGCATCTGAAGTGGGGGCAGTCTTGTGGGACTGAGCTTTGAGACTGTGGGATCTGAGGCTCACCCCAGTGGATAGCTCACTACCAAAATGAGTTGCAGGACACCCAAGTGGTGTTGCAGAGAATTGCTCGATGTGTAGAAAACCCACACATCAGGGTCAGAGGTGTCATGGGTGTGATAGAAACGTGAGAATACTGGTAGTAGGTGGGAAACTTCCCACACATCTATTACCTTTCACATTGTTACTATTGAACAGGTCACTCTAAACTTGACGGGTTTTTTAAAACCCATATTCTTTTACCTATTTTCTTAGTTTCAAATCAATTCGATCAAAATGCTGTCAACAGTCTCATCCAACTCACTGAGAAAAAACTGAAAAAGGCCAAGATGACTTTATTTATAGACTAATACCCACACATTTAGCAGAACTCTTTGGTAGGGCCCTTCCACTCCCACCCACCACAATCCATGCTATATTTACCCAAAATGAGAGACTGTCAAACGCTTTGACAAAATGTGATGAAATCCACATGTGCTCTGCGTTCATATTCATTGCACAGATTCGGGGGCTCCATCAATCCCATATTCATGTTGTTCAGCTCTGAATAAATTTTTTATGCTATTTTTCTAAATATTTCCTCCCCTTTCCCTCCTGTAATGAATTCCTAATAATTAGATATTAGACCTCCTGGAATAATACCACTACTATTCCTTTCTCTCCATTTTCCATCTTATTATCCTTTTTGTCCTCTTACAGTTTTCCTCAAGCTTCAATTTTAATCTAATCTACTGTGCATTTTTCCCCCTTTTGTTATCACATTTATTTATTCTTTGACTATTTTATAACATCTGTTCTTATTTCACAGATGAAATATTTTCCTCTCATCTGAACAATTACAGTTTTAACAATTATAGTTTTTCTTTCTTCCTTTCTTTTTTTAAGTTTCCTCCTCCCTGCACTGTCTGCTTGCTTCAGGGGCCTTGTTTTGACCAATGTGTTTTTATGCTTGGATAAAAAAAATTTTAGCATGAAGTGCTGAAATTAAGTAGCTTTATGTGCAAAGTCAACCACAGTTATAGGATCATCAATATTCTGATACATTATAAAATGATTAGGCAAAGACCTGGATGTTTCATTGTTGGGGGAGGGCGGTATCCTCAAATGTCGACATCTACAGGTTTTTTCCTTTCTCTTCGAATATACTGTTTAGGTATGGGATGGTGCTATTGACTGTTTGTGTCACCCCAAAATTCATGTTCAAACTCTAATCCCCAAAGTGATGGTATCTGGAGGTGGAGCCTTGGGAGGTAATTATGTCAAGAGGGTAGAACCCCTATGATGGGATTAGTGCCCTTATAGAAGGGACCTGAGAGCTCACTTCACTGTGTGAGGATATGGCAAGAAGGTGTCTGTCCATCTGCAAACCAAAAATGGGGTCCTCACAAGAATCTGATGGTCTGACATCTGATCTTGGGGTTCCCAGCCTTCAGAACTGTGAAAAGTAGAGTTTCTACTGTTTAAGCCACCCAGCCTATGGTAGTTTTTTACAGTTGCCCAAACTATGATAGAGGATATTTAATAGTCTAGAAGCTAGAAAAAGAGGCTAGAGGTCTTCCTACTTGGTATGCTCTGCCTCTTTTCAGTAGAGGACCTCACTTCACTGTCCCTGCACCCAGTTAGGTCTGTCTGATTTGACCTAAAGAGTAAATTTCTACTCTTCAGCCAAGCTATGGAAGGGTAGCTGCTGCTACAGGAGAGAGACGTCTAAAGGTCTAACTGCTTCTTATACAAATGTGCAGGGATCCTCTGGTTTTTCTGCCCGCCTCCACATCCCAGACTTCAGAGAACTCTGGTACCTTACAGAGGATAGAGAGCAAGAACTGGCTTGCTTCTTACTGGCCTCCCCCGCTGAAGGATAAGATATTTCAGTGTTCCCAAATATAAAGTAGCTGCCCTCATTCTTCTCTTTTTAAGCTTCCAAAATATTGATATCTCATGCCTGCCACTGTCTCCTCTTCTGTTCTATTTGTCTTTGTGATTTTGTGCCTTTTTTATTCCTTTATTACAATTTTAGTGGGCTTTCAGAAGGGAGCATGTATTCAGCCCATCATCTTTTACTAGAAGTAACATTTTTGTAAACTTTTAGCTCCTAAAAGAAAACCTAAGTTACACAACATAAGTCAGGAATTAAAAGTGAATACTACGATATACTTTATCATTATATTGAGACATGTGCCAGAGTTTCACTGTGGCAGCTCAACAGCATCAACGCTGTAGAAGTGTCACGGTGCACCATGAGGGCCAATAACAAGGCTACACGCTCAAATTCACCAGCAGTGAGAAGATGTGTAGTTGTGCGCGAAGAAGTCATCTTCTTGGACAGCTGTCCTACCAGTCGTGAAGCTCTGATCCTTCCATCAAGCTTTCAAGTTAATAAATCCCAGCATCTTTATATTCACAAACTGTAACATTCACCAACAGCTAAGTTTTTCAATTATTTCCCCTTCCCCGTGAATTAAAATCTGAGGTTAGAGTCCTGACCAAATTACCTTTGTATGGTAAGCATCTAAGACATCTGCAATATTTTCTTTTGAAGGAGATTTTAGGGCTAACAGATCTTCTTCCAACATGTCCAACTAAAAGAGGGGGGAAAAAGGGAAAACAGATTTGAACCCCAATGCAAATACAGACTTTAAGAAACCTTATACTCTGGTTAAAAATACTTGTCTTAAAATTATGATGTGCTCTCTTCAGCTGAATCAGTGAAGGAACTTTTCTCTGAAGTTGAATGCACACACATTCCCACACAGCAAATGTTGCCTTGCAATTAGATAAAGATGGAAGAAACTAAAGAGGAGAGAGACATTTATCTTTGTTTCTATTAAACACTTGAAATGCAGTACTACCACCAAACACTTGAATTATAAATTTTATTTTAATTAATTTTAACTAAAATTTCCATGTGTGACTAATGGCTACTATAGTCAATGCACATCTCTATAATACAGCCACACTTAACTCTCCATCTATATCTCTCACATACTATTCAATGCTCAGCCAAATGGGACTTTTTATTGTTTTCAAAACATAACCAAGCTTTCCTGCCACTCACTTGCTCATTATATGTTTCCTTTATCCAGAATCGCTTGTCCTAATAATATTCATCTTAAGGCCCAGCTGAACTACAACCTCTGTAAGAAAACCTCCAGGCATTTCTTATAAGTTTTCTCCCCTTACAAGTCCACGGAGTCCTTTCTGCGTACTCTTTGTTTATACTTCTCATATTCTACTCTGTCAGATGAGTGACATGGTTATCTTTTATCTTTTGTACCCACCTCTAGTTTCATCTCCAACATTCATTACTCATTTCTATTATCCTCTACAGGCCCTGTGAATGGCAGTCTACACACTGCAGAATTTATTACTGGGCAGGTTGACAAAGAAGGGATTACACCGTGGATCAGCACTCTCCTCCATCCTTAACTAAATTCCACTCTCATCTCCAGAGTAGATAATGAAGTTCACGTTTGCCTCCTGTTACAGCTCAAGGGAAGGGTTGGACAGTCACCTACTCAATGTAACTACAGATGCCCCTAACATGGAGAAAGATCTGAAATTTCAAGCAATGTGATAGAAGGTTCTCATACTATATATATGTTATATATATATAACATTCCTTTTCCTACCCCAAAACACCCCTCCCTCAAGATCAGATATCCATTTGGAGATCTATGCACTTCCTGGAAAGCTAAGTTCACCCCATAGTTCCAGAAATGAAACACATTAGCAAGGTGAGTTAGCCAATGTAGGCTAACTGGCTCATGAGTTCACGCCAGTTCAAGGAGAGTGAACTCCCAGTTGAAGCAGAATAAATCCCAAATTTCTTGCTGAAAATTCTGAGGCAAAACCACTTTGAACTGGATTTTCTGTTACCTTTACCACAAAGAGATTCAACTACTATGGTAGCAACTGCCATCCTCATTTAGAGATGGGCAAACTAGGGGATAAAGAGACTAAATCTCAAGCTAGGATTTAAACCTAAGCTGTCTGTCTGTATGTTCTTTGCTACAATGCTATTCTGTGCTGAAAAAAAAATTGGCCACACTGTTTAAAAAAAAAAAAAAGACGAAGATAAGTAATAATACGTGTCCCTTGCAGCAGATATTCTTTAGAAAAGTTTTTAAGGCCATATTTTACAAATGTAACTCTTAAATGCACTAGTAGGGAAACTCACAACCAAGAGGACTTTTCAAAAATGTTTTTATAAAATAAAAGCCTATCTGTTTATATATAGATTTTTTTAACCAAAGTGTAATTATTCATGAAAAATATTCACTGAAGGTGCTAGGCAAAACAGCCCTGAATCCAGACATAATTATCTCCATTTTTCACATGAGGAAACATGATTGGAGAGCTTAACTACCTTCCCAAAGGTCACACAGCTTTAAACAGTAGATCCTGGATTTAGACCCATGTCTCACGAAAAGCCTATGACCTCAACCAATTATACTGCCTCCCCATGCAACGAGTTATTCCAACAACACAAAATGCAATAATCCAAGTAATTACCTTTTCAGAATCTACAAAATGTGTAGCAATTCCTGCTGCATACACATCTCTTCCTTTCAGCCTGAATCCTGTTAAGGCAAGGAAGTAACCAAGTTTTCCTTGAAGTCGTGGCAAGAAATAACCTCCACCCACATCAGGGAATAGTCCTGTAATTATATAATGAAATGAGATAACAATGATTCAAGTTAAAAAGATGAATATAATAACTCTTGAGATCAAATGGCCATTTCTTTCTGGAATTTGAATCTATACTAGAAATATTATTAAACTAAGTACTATCCAATGCAATCAATATTACAAAAGATTTGCTATTAAAATGTTCTAACTTGAGTATCTTTCAAAATTTTCATGTCTCATTTCTGTAGGAGTCAAAGTATTTGATGGCATAACTTTTTGTATTTAAGTAGTACTATTAAATATTGCCTAAAAAGTTCCTTATCACTATTTTTAATAATCTCCAAAATAGTAAAAACTGAGAAAATATTTTCTTTCCAAATAAGAAAAAATATGCATAATCTAAAGCTATATTATGTGAAAACTCATTATTACCAATCAAATCATAGTCTATTCTGTTAATCCATTATCTAATATTCAAGATATTTACAGTGATGCAATAACCTTTAGTCCTACCAAGAATAAGTTTATACCTAACAAAATCACTTGTATTTACTCTTATCTTAGCCATCTTTTTTAATTCCCTTATTCTCTCTACTGTAACAACCGAAAATAGTGTAAATGCGAATACTTGCCAGTACACTACTTTTTGATATTTAAGAGCTCCTTAAAAACTCTAGTTTTATAATAAAGATACCTATTCTAAGATTGCTTCATTTGATGAAGCTGAGATAAAAACACAAGCATTCAAATTCTTTCCAGTTCTACTTGACAAAAGTTTCCTAGACTTCAAAGAATTAGCATCATTCTACTGTAAATATCTCTTGGCACCTCTAACAAGGTAAGTCTAAAGTTGAATTCATGACATTCCCCGACTCCTGGAATGGAGTTCATCTCTTCCAGTATCACTCACCTCAATAAAGTGCACAACCATTCAGCCTTGACACCTTCTTTTCAGACCATCCCTTTAATGATCATCCTGAAAGTTCTCCATACAATAACCAGAATCTTTTGAATCTTTGAAAAGAGTTTTTTGCCTTCTACTGCTTAAAACTCTTCCATAACTCTCTTAGATTAAAACCAACACTTTATTAAAGTCTTCAAGACTCCCAATCACTTTTTCAAGTATATCTCTTACTACTCACTACATTCCAGCTGCTCTGTTCTTCTTTCAGTTCCCCAACATTCCACAGTTTACACTACTTGCCCCACAGCCTCAGCAGCACTCTGCTGTGAAAACACTGTCCTGAAGTACTTTGCTCTGTTCCAGGGTACCACATTCTCCCTTTTTGCTCCTGACTCAACAGCTGCTTCTTTCCATTCCCCCTTGCTGTCTACTTCCTTCGCTTGATCTCTACATGCTGCTGGGCCTAGGCTTGACTTCAGGCTATCCCTACATCTCTACTCATACATTTTCCTAGCACTTACAGCTCTAGATAACATCTATATGCTGATAAGTCCCTGTTATGAACTGAATTGTGGCACCCACAAAATTCTTAAACTGAAACACCGCCACCCACTCCAATGTGATAGTTTGGAGATAGGCATCTAAAAAAAAAAGAAGCAAAATACTACCCATAATGAAGTAATAATCAAAATTGACACAGAATTGACATAAACATAGGAATTTGTACAAGAGAACATTAACACAGAATAAATATATGTTCAGTTAAGAACACAGAAGATAAAAACTTAAATGATACTTCTAGAGACAAAAACTAAAATGAATATGTAAGTGGAAAACTACCTGAATGAGATTAAGGCAGATTAGACTTTGCAAAAGATTAGTGAACTTGAAGGCACAGGAATAGAAACTATCTAAAATTAAAAATGACAAAATTTTTAAGTGAACAATTCATGATCCTAATATAAGTTTAAATGGAGTTTCTGAAAAGGGAGTGAGGGGAAAGAAAAATACTTGAAGAAATCATGCCAAATTTGGAAAATTCAACAAAAACTATGAATCTAAGCTTAATAAACACAAGCATAAGAAAGATAAACTAGGGATCCCTGGGTGGCGCAGCGGTTTGGCGCCTGCCTTTGGCCCAGGGCGCGATCCTGGAGACCCGGGATCGAATCCCACATCGGGCTCCCGGTGCATGGAGCCTGCTTCTCCCTCTGCTTGTGTCTCTGCCCCTCTCTCTCTCTCTTTCTCTGTGACTATCATAAATAAATAAATTTTTAAAAAAAGAAAGATAAACTACACTAAGACACATTATAATCACATAAGCCTAAAACAAATGATCAGAAAAATCTTAAGAGCTGCAAGAGATAATAAAAACACACTTACAGAGGCACAAAGATGAAGAGGAAAGCAGATTTCTCATGGGAAACAACATGAGTGAGAAAACAGTGCAACAACATCTTTAAAGTACTAAAATTTAAAAATCAGAATAGAATAAAATTGTATACCGAGGAAGGTATACAAAGGTCAGTCAAATCACTGACCTTGGCTTTCACCTTAGGAGGTCAAAGAAGGGATGAAACCCCAAGTAGGAAAAGAAAGAAAAGAGTAGAAAACAATAAAAGAGAAAATAAATAAGACAAAGAAGATAGTTTTTGAGATCAATAAATAAACCTCTAATTAGACTGATCAGGGAAAAAATGCAATGACTCAAGAATGAAAGACAAATATCACTACAAATTCTAAACACAAATACTAAAAAGAACAGAAATTATGAAAAAACTTTATGCTAATAAATTGGACAAATTGCCTAAAAGATCCATCCCACCAAATTTTGTGCAAGAAATAGATCATTTGAATAACCCCACATGTATTAAAGTCTTTGAATTTGTAGTTGACAACCTTCCCACAAAGAAAACTTCAGGCTTTCATTCATGGATTCATTGATGAATTCTACCAAACACAGAAAAAATTCCAACTCTACAGAAACTCTTCCAGAAAATGAGGCCAGCATTACCCTTATTCCAGAAGGAAGGATATTACAAGAAAACCACAGACCAATGTCTTTCATGAACACAGATGCAAAAATTCCAAATAAAATTTTAGAATATCAAACCTGACAACATATAGAAAGGGTAACACCTCATACCACACTGAAATTTATCCTAGTAATGCAAGGGTAGTTTAATATTAAAAAAAAACAATCAGAGTTAATTCACCATTAACAAATTAAAAAGAAAAACCAATAATCATCTCAACTGATGGAGAAAAAGTTTTGGTTTTTTAGATTCAAAACCCATTCCTAATAAAAACCCTCAGCAATTTAGGAATAGAAAAAACATCTTTATCCTGATAAAGGGCACATATGAAAAAATTACACCTAACCTCTTACTTAATTGAAGGACTGAATGTTTTCCCTAAGATCAAGAAGGCAGCAAGAACGCCCACACCTAACACCTCTATTTAACATTGTTCTAGAGGTTCTATTGAGTGTAATAAGGCAAGAAAAATCAAGAGTATCCAGATTGGAAAGGAAAATGTAAAACTGACTTTATTTGTAAATGATGTAAAAATTTATACTAAAATTTATACCAATCTAATACAATCTACAAAAAAAATCTAGAATAAGTGAGTTTAGGAAGTTTGCAGGATACAAAGTCAATACAGAATCAATTGTACTTCAGATGGCAGTCCAAGATGGTGGCTTAGGAAGACCTTGAATTCACCTTCTTCCATAGACATACCAGATCTACATCTACAATATAAAATAATTCCTGCAGAAAAAGAACCAACTGAACAGCTTCTGGACAAAAAATGGTATGAGTAACCATATATAGAACAGTGGGAGGGACACAGACAGTAACAACAGGAACACCACTCCCAATGTGATGAGTTACAGTAAGGAGGGATATCACTGTGGAGCCCCTGCACAGACTTGTCCACCCTGGGCACAGCAGAAAAAGAAACCAAACAAAACAAACACAGTTGTTTAAAGAGCAACTAGCATGTAAGTGAAGGAAATCCACTTACTAACCCTACAGTATCCAGAAAATGGGCAGGGAACTACTGGAACTCTCTGGGATCAGAGGTGCCAACAAGTACCACATTTTATGGTCTCCCCTTCCTCCTCCACCATCACACTGTAAATGGGAGCATGTTCCAGTCACTGTAATCAACCTACTAGGGTTGCCCTAGCAGGTCCCAGCTTCCTAGTCCACACCAATTCCAGCTGTCCCCTGAAGGCATCCACCCCAGTCCCAGCTATCTTGTCAAGGTAACTCCAGAGCAGTGTACTCCTGGCCTATCTCTGCTCCAGCTCCAACCAGCCAAAGCTGCCAAGCATACCAGTCTACACAGAGGATGTTCTTACCCATGGCCACTCCTTCAAGACTAAGAGAGGTAAGTAGTCATTCTAATTAACAGAAACAACACAGAAAGTCAAACAAGATGAGAAGACAGAGGAATATGTTCTAAGCAAAAGAAGATAAAATCCTGGGGTTGAGGGGAACTTAATGAAACAGAGATAAGCAATTTATCAGGTAAATTACCTGATAAAGAGTTCAAAGTAATAGTCATAAAGATGCTCACTGCACTCAAGAAAAGAATGAAGGAACTTCAACAAAGAGAAAATATAAGAAGCAGAGCTGAAGAATAACTGAAATGATACAGAAAGACAGATCAGCATCTGGCAGACAGAACAGTAATTACCTAATCAGAATAGCAAAAAGAAAAAATAGTTTTAAAAAACAAGGGTAGATTTAGGAACCTCCAGGAAAACATCAAGTAACATAAATTCATATTATAGAAGTCCCAGAAGAAGAGAAAGGGGCAGAAAACTTATTTAAGAAAATAATGGCTGAAAAGTTCCCTAACCCAGGGAAGGAAACAGACATCCAGGTCCAAGAATCAAAGAAAGTCCCAAACAAGAGGAGTCCAAAGAGACCCACACCAAGACATTATAATTAAAAATAGAAAAACTTAAAAATAAAGAATCTTAAAGGCACCAAGAGAAAGATAAATAGTTACATTTGAGGGAAACTCCCTAAGACAATCAGCTGATTTTTCCCCAGAAATTCTGCAGGCCAGAAAGGAGTGGCAGGATATATTTAAAGTAACAAAAGGAAAAAA